CAGTGTCTATAATGCAGCGAACGGTCGCTATTTTCACCGCACCTATGCATACGTCGACGAGTGCCGTAGACAATAGCACCGTAGTCGTACGAGCGAACGCGGCATTGGACGCGCAACAATTATGAATCACGTTCTCACCGGCGGGAGCAACGCACTGCGGATCATTCGTGGTAGCGGTTACAGGCATCTCAGCTACCACTGAAGGTGGGAGCGAGACTGCATTATTTGCAGATATTTTATTATCAGTAATCGGTAACGATTTACTTGAAAAGTGAATTAATGTGTGATGTCGCTTATGACATGTACGACAGACAAAACTAGAATTGCATTGATTCACATCATGCCCAAAATGCAAACAATTATAACAAATATTTTTCTTACGAACTAAAGCAAATCTATCTTGAGGGGATAAGTTTAAAAATTGCGAACACTTTGTCAACGTATGTTGAGCATTACAACATAAGCAATTTCTATTCTTATGATTCTGTTCATAAGACCGATTATCATTCGACGGTTTTGAAACTGGTGTGACATTAGCAGCAAACGAACGAAGTTGCCGTTGCTGCAACTGGTTTTCTACGCGATTATTGTGACGGTGGCGCATATTCACATTAGCCACACTAGATAATTTATTGTACTGTCCGCTGTTAGTCGAACAGATAATTTCCTCAGCTGATATTTCGCGTTCTAAGAAACAAATCAATGTGCTAACGTTTGGAATGTCGGACGAATTAGTTAAAGAACGTTCATAAGATTTACGAGTGTTAATAGGTATTTTTCGTAACAAAATGCTAAGTAACAAAAAACTCCATTCGCTTACGGGAAAGTGCATAATCTCCAGTGCTTTAATGTTTTCTTGGTAGACATTTAATAAATTACGTATACTTTGAGACGATCTATCGGAACACTGTTCGATGTCGAGAATTCTGTCAAGGTGTTTTGAGGCAATAACTCTTTTATTCTCATAACGAGATATCAAAATATTTAAAGCTACCGAATAGTTCTCGTCTGTAATAGGGATAGATTTAATTAAATTGTGGGGTTCGTTGTGTACCGTAAGTAATAAGTAACGGAATTTTTCCGCCTCTGTGTAGGCACTGTTTAAATGGACTAATGATCGAAACAAATCGAAATAGGAAGGCCAATCCGTAGGATCGCCGCTGAAATTAGGCAAAGGCAAAGTTGGTAAATTCTTATTATAATTAGATGACTGAACTAAAGGCGTTATTAACGGACGACTCATACGTCGTTGCTCTTCATCCACCCTCTTTAAATTATTTAAATTAGTGATAATAGCGTAGTACAAATCATTGAAATCGTTGCGTATCTTAATCTGTTCCTCTTTGTTAAAAGACCTTAACTTGATTAACGTTTTTTCAATTTTAGTTTGAACTTTATTGAATTTACGTTGGTGAGAATTTAAATCAGTAGTTCGCGAGCGAAACTGTTGGACATCTGTCGCTGCGAACTGTAATGTTCGTTTTAACTCATCGAGAATAAGATCTCGTTCGAATAAATCTTGTTCACACGGCGATTCATCATCAGACATTTTGCGTAACAAAGATGACTGCTTCGAATTCGCTGCGTCACTATCCATGATAATAAGTACGTAATACTGTTTAGAGACAACACAACTGAAAGATAGCAATCCGGCTCGAAGGACCAAAAGAAATTATGTACGATATTAAGCAGGGGTTGGCGACTCACCGCAAGCGATCCTTTACCGCCACGGGTTCCGAGGGCTGGGTTCTGGAACGGGGTGCGTCGACGCGGTTACCAGCGAATATATCATACACGATATATAGTCCATAGGCACTGATCCACCGTTCTTCCGAAATGTCCTTATTCTCGATAACGAACAATTCACCAAGCTCAATCAAAATTAGGTGCGCGCAGTTAACAATTTGAAATCACAGTAGTAAACCGTCACCCAAGGATTAAGGGTGGGGATTTGGAACGAAGACAGCTAATCGCCTTGCCCATAGACAATAAAAATTTTACCCACAGTTGTGTTGTCTTTGTATAGCCAATTATCAATGATCTGTTTCATTACGGAACACTAAGTATATTAATAAAATATATATTTTTAAACAACTTTTATAATATTTGATATCTTTTTGAGTTGATATTTTGAATTTTGTGTAATAACTATTTGATAAATTGTTAATTGATAATTATTTATCTTGTAGTATTCAGAATAATACATAAAATAAAACGAAAAGATTTAAGAACTTAAATAAACATTTCCAATTGCTTTAAATAAAGCTTAAAGTGTACCTCAGATAACGATGCAGCAATCTTAAATATTATGATTGCGTTTTCTCGACAAATACGAATGCAAGGCAATATTTCAAAAGAAATTATTACTTTTTGTAATTAATAGAATGCCGCAACCAAACCCTCACTAATTTCAAATTGACTGTGATTAGAATTTGTCATTGAAAATGAAAAGTTGTTTTAAGAAATAAGGCACATTAAGTGTTTTATTGTGCTAACAAGTGCATCGGACAACATTACGTTAGATATTTTTATTTGCGCCTTGACAATGAAAATTTTCTTTTTATTCGACTTTTTGGATTATAATCGAATATATTTTATCGTTGAACTGTTGTTTAATATACAGGTATTATTACAACGTCCACCCAGTTGCACAATAATAATTACAGCATATGTGAAGACATACTTTCAGCACATACTTTCGCTATAGTGTGAAATCACTAGTATCACTGAGACATTTTTTCCATCAAAACTATACTCCATTAATTATAGCATTAGACAGAAGTTAAATAAGGTTCTCTTTATGGTATACTTTGTGACAAAATATCAATAATCATGTTACTCTTAAGACTGACCGCTATTTTGCTACATATCCACTTAAATACCAACTGCTATACATACTTAAATGTTATGATTTAAGCTATCTATTAAACAAATTTATGAGTATATGACTAACTTAAATGATTTAATAACTATTACAATAAAAAGTGTTCATCGTAAAGAACCTCTAGAAGCAGGGTTGGATAGTTTCGGCACGATTCTCATGTCACTATAACTCTACCAAATTTAAAACGTTGCCTAACCCCTTCAAACGTTTCGGCAGTACAGCTTTTTAATTTTGTCAGACTATTATTTATTCATAATTGTTAAAAGCGTTATCTGGCATTGCCATCCATTGTGAATGCTACTGCCTTTCTTATTATTTTGCCGTTTTCCGTGATTAAGTTGTTATTGTTTTATTTTTGTTGTTAAGTTATGTTAAATATGGACGATGCCGGTGCAGGCCCGAGTGGCCTACAAAAATTACGCTCTAAGCCCCTACCCTCAACCTTTGACTAACTAATTACACTTACAATTAGAATTTATCAAAACAACAGCTGTCTGTTGTTTCAGTTTTAGTAAAAGATGAATTTATAAAATGCTGGTCCCATCTCAACCTCGAGGTATCGTAAAAAATGGAAAAATACCTAACAATCAAAGTTTCAACAAAACTAATAATATTTTTATAATACATATCTTGAAAATAAAATGTTCTGCACTGCTGCTTCTATGACCCTCTTTTTTCTAATGTTATAATGAATGGAGTATAGGTTTCCGCTAGCGGATGCGCCCACGTGGTTGCCAGAGAACTGTTTATTTAGATATAGATGCATGACACAGATATAATTACAATGATAAATTGAATATTAAACAAAAGTTAATATACTAACTTTCTAATTCCCTATACAAACTTTCACCTTCATTTTCATTCCTTTATTTGATATGTTGCGGGATAAATTACAGCTTATGTTTATAGCATATGATGTAACTTATCGTAGGTGAAAGGAAAAAAATCGGTCCAGTAGTTTGGTTGCCTATTCGTTGCAAACAAACAAACAATGAAATCTTACCTTATTATAATTTCATCGAACAAAACTATAAAGTATCTGCTTGCTTTGTGAAATTGGACATACACCTATATAATCTAACGTTTACACATGATATTGCTAGTGAAGTTAATGTAACAAAACTTATTGTCACTAATTTCGTGATTGAATTAAACGTTTCAAAAAACCATGCCAGTAAAATAGAAAAATGGAACAACATTCACCAAATAAAACAATTAAAAAAAAGGTTATATAATATTTTTCTATTGTTTCTTTAATTAAGTTAGAACCATTAATTTTCGTCAGTTTAATTCCCGACCTAACATCAAACGCCTGAATAAATAAAATGTGTTTTATTCATTCAAAATGTAAATGATCTCTTAATTACGTCTTCTTTAATTGCTGTGGGACCAATTGTGAGGCCTTAATGTGTCACGTTAGGAAACATTATCATTAATTTTGTATACACCGTGTTCGTTTCTTCACTTATTTATTTATCTTTAATACTGTATATATTTCGCAGCTAAGTGGTTAATGCAGCCGTCCAATTGGGCGGTTAGCCCTTTAATTGAATAGCCCTTTAATTTTCTAGTGGAATCACTATGACATTTGAATAGTTCGACAAGATGATTGATTTAAAAACCTTTGAGCTCTGTGAAAAATATTAGTTTTGTTGTTTTGGAATTGAAAGCGACTTTTCTGTGTAATAAAACAGGGAGTAGAAAGCAGCCCTTGCTGAGTTTCTTGCCAGTTCTTCTCAGTACAAGGTCCATGGATGGCATAGTTTTCAATTTTCACAAGTGTTTGTAACAGCCTAGACTGAATAAATTATATTGAATTTGCATATTACTGAAACGCTTATGCTAAAATGGATGATTGAAAGAGGAAGTTTGAAAGTAGCTTCAGTGACATTAAAATTGAATAACAGAATATGTTGATGTGGAAATATGATGAGAAGAAATGATTTGCACCTAACAAAATGGGTTATACGCATGACTGCGGAAGAAAATGTAAGGTGGGGACGACCAAAGAAAAGATGTTTACACTGTGTGAAAGAAGATATATGTAGAAAGAAGAAGAAGAATACATATCGATTTTCTGAAAGTAAAAATATTTTCTGAAAGTAAAACTACTCACGAAACCATTTTCAATGTTTGCTGAATGGAATCTCTTCTCGTAATCTTGCCTGGTCCTCAAACTGTTATTTGATACATAATGTACGGATTTACCGTGTTTTTTTATTTTCTCGAAGAAATCTCCAGCTCCAGGCAGTGTTCCATTTGACCATATTACACCTGAAATAATAATTAGTGAGAATATTTTCAAACGCTAACTTGCTTTTCTATCAATTAAGTTTATTAAATCGTATCTTGGTGTCGAAAGTAAGATAATTTTAAAGAGTAAATATGCTTCGAGGGTGTGGGTATGATATTGACATTTTTAATTGAAACATTGATTCATTTAAGCGAAAAGTATACTTTATCGCCAGTTGATTTATAGAGCAGGTATGACTAAATATTTAACAATGTGATTCTTGCAAGTAATAATTATTTAGATCCAAGCTGAATCTGTAAGCGAAAACCTATAATTGGCTTATTGATTATTACGTTTGAAATTAATGATTTTTAGATAACTGTTGATTTCCAAAAATAAATACTCTAAGTATTTCTATAAAACACATAATAGTTTTCTGAAAAAAAATATGGAACGTTGTTTTGCAACCAGAATTTTTTAGTAATATTTGCTTTGATTCGAGTAAGAAAACGTTTAGGTGGATTAAAGAAATATATTCAAAACCATATTGTATGTTGAGCTAGGAATACGGAACAACCCACAATAAGATGCTTTAGTGTTACTATAATATTTCGGAACGTATTAGAGCATTAGGTTTCACTCAAGTTATCGTTTTTGTTCTGTAATTTATATAATAAAATATGAATAATTTAATGTCCGAAATAAGATTAAATTTAGAAGATATATCAGCAATTAATCGATCTATTTGAGATACAAAAATAATTTAAATACAGCGGTAGTCTAATTTGTAACATTATAGAATCAAACGGTTATTTATTATTACTAAGAATATAAAATAAAATTAGTATTTTACTGCAAATATTATTCGATATTTATAACAACGTTATTCAAAACCAGATGTTCAAACATTCAAAGGTATATCATGATTAAGGTTTGAAATATAATAATTTTATTTATGAACCTTGCTTACGGCTTATGCCTTGAAGACTATTCTATAATAAACCTTTTATTAAAATATTTCAGTCTGCACACAACTGAATTTTTAGTATAGAATTATTTTTTCAGTCCATAACAGCTTCGCAAAGTTTAATCAAAAGTATTCTAGATAGTCGCTTTGTTGTGAAACTTTATAATATCTAAAACGCCCCTTGGGGTATAAACCTGATTGTGGCTGTTAAGATTAATTCAACAACGAATTCAATGTTTATTTACATAGTATATATTTTTATACCTAGTTTTATTTATTTTTTTACACGACTGCCCAAAAAAAGAAACGTTACATAATGCCACGTGACATTGGTAATGTATACATTTTTAAAAATTCAAAAGGCCGATGATGCCGAAAAAAAATTACAAATGGGTATCAAAATAAATATGGCTTTAGTTAAACTTCTTTCAGCATGTCGTATGATATTTATTTATTTTTATATTATATATTTCGCCAGCGGCTTCGCCCACGTGGTGCCTAGGGAAATGTTTAGTGGGATAAAAAGTATCCTATTATCCAAGTCAGCTAATACCCTATCTGTATACCAATACGCCAGCGTGGAGGGTCATGGCCCTTCTTCCTTAACAATTTATAAGGAAGGCCTGAGCCCCTGCAGTTGGGACGTAAAAGGTATGATGATGATGATTGACAGACAAACATCCAAACAAAGAAACTTTCACATTTATAATATTAATAGGATGAATTCCACTGCACTATAATTATTGCTTTTATTTTAAGAAAAAATATTTCCAAATATTTTTCAAAACATAGTATTTTATTTTGTGTTATAGTTCATTCATTTATATTTATATAATTTCAAATAACAAGTTATGAAAATCTAAGTAGTAGAAACACAGGCGACAGAGTTCAAGTAGCCGGTAAATCTACTTGGTGTGAAACAACTCTTAGACCATACTGGAAGGAGCTAGGGAAGGCATATGTGTGGGGCTCGACCCGGCGACCTCCGAGGATCCGGGATGTAGCCCCGGTTCCTTCCCCCACTGAAGGTACTCACAGCGGGTTTTACCAGGTAGACCGCTCTCGCATTAAGTTTGTCTTTTTCAGGTCGGGAACGGGGTCGGATAGGCCCGGTTTAAAATTATTTCCCTTGGGTTACCAAAAATGGGAAGGCATTGTCCAATATTGGGCAAATAAATCTTAATAGAGAGATATGTATATTAATATAGCTAATTAGATACTGACACAATGTTATCGTAAATATATAACAATATTGTATCCATGATTACAACCTAGTACTGACGTAAATCACTATCACAATAACCATTGTTCGTCTAACAAAGGGCGATAGGTTCAGATTATAGTCAGATTATGAAGTGCTACTATGGGTGCTCCAATTTATCTTTTATTTGTTTTAAGATTACTATTTATAGATTGTTTCTGATCTTTTAATATCGACAGTTCATTATCAGTTGTTAAGTTTAATTATTTCTTTTGATTCGTAATTGAATCGAAAAAAGTTGAATTTTCTGATGACAAGACGATCGTTCTTTTCACTGAAGAGATTAGTTATTCAAATGTTATAAGAAATATACAATTAAAAATAAGAATTAAAAGTGTTTAAAACTGTTAAAACTTGATGTCAAGAGGCATAAAAACCGTCGAGTATGTATGAAAACAGTAATGAAAGTGGATGAGGCGAAAGATGAATTAAGGAGAGGTTGTACGAAAATACCACTTTTTAAACCAATTTTGTTCTAAGGCTATTCTAATATTTGACAAATAAAACCCATTTTATAATAATTTTATATATGATTAATTGTTTCCCTTAAAAAAGAAACATAAATTCAAATAATTTAATGTGTTCTTTTTGGAAAACGGAGATACCGACGAGCCACAAAACGCGGCCAATATAGACGGAGAGCTCGTGATAAAAATGTAGAACAGCTTTCTAAAGCTTGATATTTCAGTATGTTGAAGTACTAAGTGTAGACATCACTCAGCACGAAGGTCAGGCGTCGGAACACGAGGAATATTTTGGCGAAATTTTACTTGAAATATTTTTGGTGGGATTTGTAATTTATCTACACGAATTGTTATATTGTAGAAAATCCTTTAATAATAGTAATTCAAGAAGATGTTCCTTCCTGATGCCTTTTTCAAATAATCTATATTAGCATAATATATTTTTCTTCTCGTCGCATAGTAGAAGTTTTCAAAAGTATAAAGCGGAGTAAGCTTATTTACGTAATGTAATATTAAAATACATAATGTAATATTAGTAATTGCCGCGACGTGGTCTGGTTTTAAGGGTAGAAATGCGAAAATTCCATAAAAACTTTCATCCCCTAATTCATCCCCTTAGGGGTCGAATTTCGTAAAAACCCGTCTTAGTGAGCACCTACGTCCTAAAAAGGACCCGCGTGTAAAATTTGAATCTCCTAGTACTTGTTGTAACGAAGTTTCATAGAAACTTTCATCCTATAATTTAGTTCCTTCAGGGACCAAATTTTCAAAAATCCTCTCTTAGTGCTTCTTTACACTACCTCAGGAATCTTAATTCCAAATTTCATCTTTCTATGCTCAGTTGTTTCGGCTGTATGTTCTCTATCAATCAGTCAGTCACTCAGTAAGGCAAAAATTTTATATATATAGATTGTTCTTAATAACCAAACAGTTAGGTATTGTAACTAACAATGAATTTAATAACCTTGTAAAAATCCAGTACCTAAGCAATTATTTGAGCTAGTTATCCTGTAATTATGAAGACAAATTGGGTCTACGAGTATTTCCTGTTAGCACAACTTGTTGATAATGAAATTCCGATAGAATGAATATGTAAGGATAATTAAAAAAAATGTACTTAATTAAAATATATTTAGACTTCACTTACTTTTTTTTTATTTTTTTTCACGGTTAAATTTACATTGAACTTACAAAGTTGAGATGAGGTATAATTGTACACCAACACCGTTCACCACATCATGATCAAAACATAACCAGCTTAAAAGTGGTCGCACATTACGTTTTCTCAAATCCATAGCAGAGCATTTAACTATAATTAAAAATCTTACAGTTTAGCAGTATAATTGACAATACCTTTTTATATTCAATCCATCTATCTTCTATAAGAATCTTGATCTATCTATATACATAGACCAAGATTCTGCTGTAAATATATATCTATATATATATATATAACGGCGGGTAGTCCGAATGGGTCATTACGAAGCCCAAATAGATTGTCCATATCAGGGGACTATCTTTAAAATAACACTGCAGGCGTGTATACCAACGTGGATTTGTTCCATTTTATCACTTTTCATACGAAAATATAACGAGATGAGCGTGATGTCATCGGATGTCTTTACTCCTCGGCGAAATGGCGGCAACTTGGTTTTTATAAACGAACTGTCAAAGTCAGTGTCACCATTCTAATAAAATTAAAAGTATCGATGATCACGCTCTCTTTACAATCGATTAATTAAGTAATCGAGTAACTAGCAATTAAAATAAAAGAATATTCGTAATGATGATGCGACATATATATTGATCTTTAATATTACAGAAAAACACTTAAACAAATTATTTGGGCAAGGTATCCAGTACTTGTGTTATTGGTAAGAAATTAATTGAAGTTTAATTAATGTTTGGTTAACGCTATCATAACTGATTAGTAGTAATCATTCACAATATTGGCTACCTAAAGTACACAATAGGGACGATAGATAAACGTAAAATGATAAATCTATGTAAACAACATCGCAACGCATCAAACGCATATTTAAATACTCGGTACCACAGAATAAGACAGTAGCAAAAATTAAAAAAAAAACCCCGACATAATATAAAAAAATAAAAAACTACTCAAGCCTTTTTTTGATTTGTTTGACCCATATTAAGGGATTCGTGACAAAACGTGTAATCCAACATTTTGTGGCGGCGTCCATCTTGGATCGATTTCCATCAAAAATAGTGTAGCACATTGCTGACTCATACACTTTTCAAATAAAATCAAAATCGGTTCATCAGTTTGGGAGCTATGATGCCAGAGACAGACACACAGACACGTCAAACTTATAACGCTACGGTATGTTTTTGATTTCTCCATGACAACCCTTCCGGCTTTCTTTCATGTTTAAAAGTAAATTAGTTTCCAAAACTCAGTAAACAACTCATATTCTATTTGTACTTTTTCGTATTTGTATTGATATCTAAGTTTCGAACTTTTCAAATTTCAGTTTTTCAATATGTTAGTTAAAAGGAACGGAAATTACTGTCTTTGGTCCATTCGTTTCCTGCAAAAATCAACTTTTGCTAGAGTCGCCATCTAGTGTAGGTGCTTTTTAGTGCTTTCATTTTTTTTAAATACTTCCTCATTGTCTATTACCGACATGAAATCACCTAATCCCATACGTGATTTTCTGTTACTAAAAAGTGTTCTTTGATCGATTTTTAACTTAATTGTTTAAAGATTAAAATCGTTTGGAATGATTCGACCTTTTGTCCTAACATAAGTTGTTGTGCACTATACACATTTCTTACAGAATATTAAATTTAAAATATGCGTAAAAGTTCGAATCTTATTTCTATTTGTAAATATTTAAAATTCTATGTCTATGAACTAAGGTGTTGTTAACTATTCATTTAGCAAATATGAAATTGCCGTCGTCTAGTAGATTGTTTTTAATATACATAGTACAAACAAAGTATTAAATGCGGATTGTAAACCGTTCAGAGGTTTCTGATTTTATCGCATTCAAATAGATAGACCTTGCGGATTTTACATTTCTAGTGGTCGACCAGTTTCAAAGGGTTTTATTATCAAAGACAACCAGCTATAACTCCTTTATTACTGTCTGATCTTCTATAACAAAAGTGTGAAACGCATGTTAGTCTGTTTTAATGTTTTCTTTACCGATTTAATTTGTTTTTAAAGAATCTTTATGACAAAAAAATGTACTTAAACGAAATACACAAGTTGTATTGTGGCTTGGTTAAACAAAATCCTCATTGCATTTGGGGGACCGTTTTGAGGCACATTTTTAATCTCACAGGTCCCCGACTGCAATGAGCCATATTTCTTTTAGCCAAGCCATAATTCTTCTTTTTAGATACATTAAGGCAAGTATGTTTTGCAATTTTTAAATTATTTTCATTTATTTTATTTCTTTTAGTGACGAGTAAATGTATACAAAGTAGATATATTATATTTTTTTTGGAATGTATTCATCAAGTACTTTGACCTTTAATGACCTTTGATGACCTTTGATGACCTTAAATTTGATATCCATATTGTTATAATTGAAGAAATATTATTTTCTCATTTTTTTTAAATGAGTATTTTATTAAATATTTTAAACTAGATATTTATAAATATATATATAGCCTGTGTTACTCAAGATGACGTAGGGTTTCTAATGATACCCTATTTATTTATATCCGTTAAGTCTTTCATACACACATACAATAAGTATAACTAAATATAATAACGCTTCTTTTTTATAGTATTTATTGGCACGTGACGCGTCTTCCGTCGAGAGAACAAGGTTGAATGTCATATCGTATAATTGTTAGTTACGACCTTACGAACACTGAACAAAAAAGTGCGAGTGGGACATACGCACCAAGAGTTCCCTACAGGGAACAATTTACGTTTGTTGTATGGAAGACGCCGTAAATTTTGATTTTATTCTGTTTTTAGTACTCGTTGTTATAGCGGCAATGGAAACATATTATCTGTGAAAATTTCAACTGTTTCAATATCACAGTCCACAAGGCACAGCCTGGTGACAGCGGAGACCCTAAAACGGTTGACGGTCCGAGATCGATAAGACGCGAGGCATCTTTCGTCAGATATGCACAGGCTTTTATTATTTCATATTTTCAAAACCCAGATTATATAATGTTTCAAAATAAAATAACTTCATGATCCTCATTAAAAATAATGTTGCCATTAATAACAGATCAAATATTTGCGAACGAAACGAAACCACGGAATACATATCTTGTGTCGAGACGTAGCATAAACAAAACGCAAAAGCACATGTAGTAAACGCACACATCCATTCAGTGACGCAACTCACCGTCACAATCCGAAAACACATGATCGAATGAATCCAAGAACTCTTTGAAATCACTAGGGTCCAATTTTAGTAAGTTCACCGGCTCCGCCATATTGTTGTTTTATATATATTTATGTCACTTTATCACTGATAATACTTTTTTAATTATAAACACGTGGGTGTGTAACCTAGTCTAGTGCTATACTGCGCTCGCGTCACTGCGAACTAAAATATATGGGGGACCGTCCTGACGTCGTTTCCATTGGTTCACGGACGATATCCAATTAAATATTAATGAGTTCTTAAAGTACCTATCATCGTGAGTTTGAATTACAGCTTTAGAGACTAATATTTTTTGTTATGTATTACTAAGTAAAAATATTTTTGGAATAGCAATAGTTATAATATTTTTTATTAAAAAGCTATTCTCGCGACTTCGCTCGCGTCGCGAATGGTGTTAGCTTCTCGTAGGTGAAAGAAATTTTAAAAACGGTTCGATAATTTCGGATTCTATTCAATGCGAACAAAAATACAATCAAATCTTTCCTCTTTATAACGATATCTAGTAAAGATGATTGAATAATGGAAATGTACGTAATTGTGTACGTCTTAATACAGATAATAATCATCTTGACACAAATTAGGTAAAATAAAATATTTAATAGCTACACATAACTTTTAGTTTACCGAAAGTTTTTATTACAGTTGATAATCATGTCTTCCTAATCACTTTGTTCTATGTTCTGGACACGATATCGTATTCTACTAATTAACATGACACCTGAGGCCCTATTCTGTTTGTCGTTGGACGAAAATTCGGAGAATTTCAAATCGTTGTTATAATTTTGTTAAAACCACTTCCATGAAGATTGTCAGTGCATCAGAGACAGTGTCAGGTCCTGCCTTTGTTACATTATAAATTATCGGATATCGTGTTTCTTTGTACTCGCATTAGCATTTCGAAAATTGATGAAATTTCATTTCCGGAGAAATAGTGTCATGTCATTTCATACGAGGTATACGTTGGACGAATCAAGCGAGTGCAGCGACTTTCGACAAAAATTGTTTGTAATAATTCTCTCCGCCTCTGCCTTTAAAACAACTAGTCAATATATAAAGTGATTTTTTGGAATTTAATGCTGTTAGTATGATATACTTCTATACCTGTTCAATTTTTCTCACACATACGCCAACAGATACGCCGTGTTACGCATATGTGAATAAAGTTTGGCCTTATTATAATGCGGGTCTTAATTGCCACATGTGTCTTACTCCACTCTACAATAGTATTTTATATCTTCTGCGATATAACAAGTAACTGAATAATACAATTGTACCTTTCTATTTCCAAATCAGCATGGAAGACAGAACATGGAAGCCTACAGGAATATAAATAATATGAAAATTTCTAACGGCCATTCATAAAGGCTCTTTGGGGATCAAATAACTTTTGTTCGGCTATAAATTGTCTGTACTACATAGGGTTGTTGACCGGGTAATCCTTCTGCTTAGATGTGTCAGGGCTGTATTCGGGAAAAAAGGACTACACGTAAGCATTGTCTCGAATAAAATTTTAATATAATATTGCCAAGATAATAATAGTAATTGTGACGGAATCTTGTAATAAAATATTAATAGTATGATATCATCTCCTAATTAAACGGATGATGTCTTGATAATAACGTGTAAATAACTTTAAACAAAATAAAGTATTATCTTTTTCAAATAATAAAAAAAACTGAGAGATAAGATATAAACAGTGTTACTTCATAATTAAGTGGAGAAAAAAAAGAGACACTAATTCTCAACTTGTTAATATAATAATGTCACGCACGATGAAGTTGTTAATTTGCTATCTATAAATTTTTTAAAATTAATTACGAATGAGAATGTTATGAATCTTCAAATGATTATATAGAACCTTCACATGAAGCTAAAAGTTTATAAATTAACGAAGTTAATATATAATAACGATCGAAATTCACTTGGTAAATTAATTTAATCCTTTAATGCACTATATCTAAAGTAGGTCAGGTAATGTATCGTTAACGATATATGGAAAATTCTTTTAAAACTTACTCTTGCTGGCCCTAAATGAGTACCTGTATCTGACGCAGCGAGATCCCCTCGGCTCTGGATCGCAGTTTTTTTCTAGTCATCATTAAGGGAGATTAATTTAGAGGCGTAGGTACATTATAATTACAACAAATTTGCTTGCTGTTTTTTACTGCGCGCTACAATATTTTGAAAGTTGTATTTTTAAAAAGATAGTACCATTTTCATTCTCTGAAATTATAATTGTATAATGTTATATTAATAAGAAGGGTTACAAAAATATGAATATTAAAGCGGTACATATAATTATTACTATGTTTTTATACAAAAAGTTGGTTGTGAATTGCGTATGAATTTACTTATTAAAAAATTTATTATAAGATAGGGGTGTATAATGTAGTATAGTCGACTGAATGTTACTTTTCTAGTCTTTTGATAGAGATGGTAATATTGAAGTATTTTCGAAGAAAAAAAAAAAGATAAAATAGATAGTTCTGCTTTACTATTTTATAGTGAAATCAGCCTTAAAGTCGACGTCAAACACAACATTGTCGCAGTACATAACGTTAATGAAACAAAAATATAACCTCATAAATTCAACGCTGCGCTCGAAGTTGAGTTCTTCACTGAAAAGCTAATGTTTACGTAATATAATCTTATCTCAATAGAATCTCAAAAATTGCAATTGTTTGCATTTTGCCATTGTACTGTCTACCTTAAGCCTCTTATTTATTTATTTGATCTTTATTTTATAGAACAGCAATCGGCGGACCTAATGCCAAGGGCATTCTCTACCAGTCTATTAGAGAGAAAGTAGGAAGTTAATTTATTATTGAAATATTCATTTTGGTTATATGGAGACTTTTTAGTCAACCATTTATGCAAAGTTGTAGCGAACCGGCATGCAGGCAGTTTTCTAATAAAACTAGCATTCTGCATTTCATCTCCATATGAATTTTATACTGGTCTATCCACACCGTCTTCTCTTTTATCCAGTTGGCTACAACATATATACATTATATATTAACAATTTAAACTTTGTCTTTTAATTTTAACTGTGATTTAAAAGTCGACGAAGCAATCGTGATTTATTTTGTTCTTAGTATTTTTATTTCTGTAACTATCTAGTAATCTCTTATTATATAATAAGCAACAAGGAGAATCGTTTAATTATTCCATACTTATATAAGACATGCGAATGTCTAACCCGCTAAACAGATTTGACTTGAGATAGGACATACGTTGCTTTTTATTGTGATAAAAGGGTTGTAATGAGGAATTAAAGTTTGTAAGGAAGTTCGTCATTAACAAAGATAAAACCATGAAACTTTATTGTCAAGTATTTTACACAATATATTGAAAAAATATTCGTTTTAAAAATGTTGCCTTAAGTAACTATACCACGCGGACGAAGTCTCGGGCAAAAGCAGGTGCACTATAAAATTACTGTATTAATATTTATTTATTTAATCTTAATTGCCTAGTGAAATAGACAAATGGCGGACTTAATGCCAAAGAGGCATTCTCTACCAGTCAACCAGTAAATTTAGTACATTAATTAAAGCGGCGATTGGCGACAATACGCTATTGATATCTCTGCATAAGAACTATATCTAAATATACATAAAATACAAACAATAATGAACATACATATACATACATAAATAAATGCATACATAAAGCTATAACACAAAGTACGAAAAAGGTGTCAGATCAAGAAAACTTGTTTGAAGCATAATAGAAGTTGCGAGCTGCTGTCTTGAATGCAAATTTGTTAGGAGCACTCCGGACGTTCTAAGTCTATCTATTGTGAAGATATTATAAACTTTAAAGAATGATATAGTGAAGAGTATTTTTTTAAATGGCTAACGTGCCTTAAGAATCGTTGAGGAGCTCGAGATGAAAAATTATTATTGAAATTTGTTTAACTTTTGCAGACCAAGCAAGTATTACTAGACAAAAATCGGATCACATACATTCGCATCCAATATGGCAATGGACACGAATCCCATTATCGATTTGCCTCGCGCCCGTCGCCACAGTGATGGCCTTGTTTTAAGTCCAACCACAATTAGTTCCAACATTGACATTGGAAGGGAAATGAGAAAGAATCGATTTGTTTCACTGATTCCGATTATTAGTACCGATTTGTTCGCGTGAGGTCACAGGTCGGCAAGTTATTTTTAAATTATAACTTCCGTGTTGCCTCATTTGCGTCGTGAGTAATTCATATAAAGGTCAGTTAAGATGTTTGACCATTTCAATTTAAAATAGTTTTACAAAAAAATTGTAATTTTACCCGAAGCGAGAAGGAGGGTTATGATTTTGGCTGGTATGTAAGTAAGAATATTCATCTTCGAACATAGTCATCGTAACTGGACAAATAATGTATCATTAGAAGCGTCTTAGTTGCCTTCTAGAGAGCATAAAGTAAGAAGAAGAAGAAGAGATTGAGTAAATAAATTATATGAGTATTATGGTGGGATATGTGCAATATTGGGAAGGAGAAATAGCGAACTATATGAACATAATTAAAAAGTGATATTTTGTTTCTGAATTGGAAATTAAATCTTCATTAAATTGTACGTAACATAAACTTGAATTATTTATCTTATTGCTAGTTACAATTAGTTAGAGTCTTGTAAATTATAAGTAGATTTTTCATTTACCGCGCATACCTATAAATACAATTAATATGCTTAAGATACTTGAGTAAAAATGTATAAATATTTACTAAAGAAATATGTTAACAAGAATAAAAAGTTTAGATTGATTTAGTGAGTGAATTGAACTCATACAGCTGACCGTGTGCTTAACGGTTTAGACTGTACATAAAATATAATTTCTTTTACAGTAATTCCTTTAAGTATAGATAAAATACTCGACACGACGAAACCAAGACTTCCACCACTTCAACAACAATAGAGTAACGCTTTATACATATTGATAGCTGCTCGTAAAGGCCAGTTATAAAGATTCATAGGCAATATTTCCATAGACAAGCTTTTCATGAGGGCAGACACAGCAGTTTTTCATCTGGTATGTGCTCAAGTACGATACTATTATGATTTACGAGCGAGTTTAGGACGACCCTTGGCCGCTCCATCTACGTATACTAACCGTTAGGCTTTCAATCTAAATAGATGTAAACATTTTGTTTTTTAT